CACTCTTTCTTTCTGATGGGAGGATAAAACTAAAGCCTTTTACAAAATTTGTGAGACTTTCAGTTTGAGACTGCAATATAGAGGCTAGTTGAGTGATGGTAGAAGATAAAGAGCTTTGAAAGTTCTCTATCAGTTCCTCTGCCACTCACTCTCTCTCTCTTAACTCCCCCCACACAAAAATTGAATGTATAATGGGACAGTGGGTCTCGTGACTTTAAAAAGAAAACGTGAGTGTGGCTGTGAGAGTGGGGGGCTTAATCAGGTATTTGCAAATTGTTATCTAGCTTCTTCGTCTGGTTTGGTTGAGACTTGGGAAATGACAGACAGACACAATCAGAAAGGGCGAAGAAATCTGATTGAGAAGCTTTTGTATTAATTATTAGTTTTAATAGAGATATTATATTAATATAATAAATCCATGTAACAATTTAATTATACAAAATAAGAGATAAAAAGAGATGTGAGTTATACGATGAAGAATATACTAGATATTGTATAATGATACTAATTACTAATTATATTATCTATACCACACTGCTTCAGTCTCTAGTTCTTTTTGCTTTTTTGTTTTTTTTTTTTTTTTTGCTCTGACTAGAGGTGCCAACAAAGGATTCAAAAATATTCAAATAATATCAGTCAAATGTATTGAAAAAAATAATTAACTAATATCCGAAAAGAAAATCTTTACCAACAAAGGATGGCAATCAAATGTACAGTACAAATTTTTGAGCATTAAAGGTTGCCCTAAGAATGAAAGATGACATTTATACCAGAAAGAAAGCAAGACAAGGCATAGGGTACGTAGACATTTTGCGTGGTTATTGTGCTTAAAGAGGGGGGGCATGTTTGAGAACAGGTCATGTATGGTCCACAATAGCTCAAATGCCTCCTTCTGGGTGTAAAATTCTACCCGGGGGACTTAGACTTGCATCAAGGAAGGGTTGCTATCAGTATCTATCATTAGGGTTTTTTGCAATCTAAGTTGGGATAGACTCGACCCCCCACTTGTTGTTTTATTCTTTGAAAGTTGCTATATCTCATAGATTACATATACATAGTCCTTTTCAATAGATGTGCATGAAGAAAGTAAAGAAATGGATTTGAATTTTCTTAATATATATCTCACATTCATCATGATATTCTATGTTCCCTTTAGATGCATTGCTTTGAACTATAAAGAGTGACCCCTTTATAAGATAGTTAGCTAGGTAAAATGTCATCCAAATTTGTTGCAGATCAGCGATTAACAGATTCACATTTTTTTTAATGATTAGTGTTGATCGATTTTACAAGTCAAAAAGCTAGCTAGCTTTAACGGTAGAAATTAACGTAATTTGGCTGAATCCAATTAATTACGGTGGAGGCTCTTATTTGGAGCAGCATATGTGTAAATGGGAAAAAGAAACAATAGTTAGAGGGCCTCTTGTCCACAAGCTAAGGTGAGTGGTTCCCCCACCACACCTGAAATGGATATAAAGGAGAAAGAAGACACTACCTAATAAGAGGGCTAGCTAGGCATTAAAATCAGGTGATTCATGGACCACACTACTGCAGCCCGGGCCTTGACAAGCTGGTTGGTACTATGAAGGATATAATATGATATGAGACACATTCGATATTTTCAAAACCTGGACCCGAAGATTCATGCAATGAACGCGCCCCAACTATCTGAATTTTCTAGCAAGTATGTATACATATCATTACTTTTCAAGTGGTCCTTCATGAATTTAAGCAGTAAATCCAACAAACATTTCTCGCATGTTCAGACCTCTAGCAATGCCAACTTACAACCAGTAGAGGAAATTGTCTTCATCATGTTGCCCTCCTTCCCTAGCAGTCAAAATTTAAATTGAAAAGTTGTTACCATTACTTGTGACAGGAAGTGCATCGCATTCGTGTATATATATATATAGTAGTAGTAGTTAATACAAACGGATATATTTAAAGATTGAAAATTACTGTGATGAGATGTTTAGACCATGACCAACGCAATGCTAAACAAATAAAACAAAACATTAAAACTTTGTATTTCAAACTTCAAACAGATTTGGATTCTATTGACAAAAACGTGGGGAGGACAGTATCTGTTCGGGGTCGTGGTACTGTACAAACCAGATTATGGTGATATCTATTAGAGGTAAAAAAAAGTTTCTGACAAATAAATTTGAGCCAAAGGGTGCAAGCGCTTAAATGATGCAATCTGAACAGGTTCCAAGTCTAAACACAGGAGACGAACCAACACTAGTCTATACCACCAAAAGTTTCAAATCAATTCAAATCAACTCAATCATTACATGAAACCAAATCAAATTAACCCTTGGTGTGTTTGTACGAGGAATTTTACAAATTTAAGGAATTTTAAATTCTTGGTATTTGAATTACTTTGATTTTAATTTCTATCATTTTTAAAATATTTTGTTTGGATGTCTCAATTCAAATTTCTTAAATTTTAAATTGTTAAGTTGAATATGATTATTTGATTCTATATAATAAAATTGATTTTAAAAATATATTTATATGTTGAGATTTTAAAATTAAATTTTATAAAATAAATATTAATCCATTTTTAAATATTTAAAAAATTTAAAAATTAATATTAGATAATATTTAATAATTTTAAAATATTTTTGAATATCCAATAATTAAAAGAATGAAGAGATAAGATAAAATATATAGGTGAAATAAGAAAACAAATATATGAGGAATTTCAAATTCTCCCATTTTTGGGAGAATTTAAAATTCTACTATTTGAAGGAATTTCATAAATGCTTGAATTTCAAATTCTTTGTAAATTTCTCATCCAAACAAAGCATTTCATCTCAAAGAATTTGAAATTCTTCAAATAAATGAATTACCCTATATAAATTCCTCATCCAAACACATCATTAAAGTTCAGAAAACCTATATACTTCTATAATCAACTGTTCACAAACAATTCAAAATTTTCTTCTTATTTAGGTAAAGCTTGACCCCCTAGTGTAGAGTAGTAAGTAGTTCATATCCATATAAATACCATCATGGAACCTATTAAAAGTAATATTGAACAATATAACTTATTTTGTGTATAATTAATTATCAGATGTCAAAGATTTATGATAATGTTAAATATGCATTTAGATAAGTTTTGTTTTCTAAAAGAAGAATTTATTTGTTTTTCATTGAAAAAAACATTTAACATTCATAATTTTTAATGCATATGCTAATTAACATTTTTTTTCTAAAAATATTAGAAACAAATGGACCCAAAAATGTGAAGAAACTTCATGGATCACCTTTGACCATTCCCTTTGAATTTGTACCTGAAAAGTTGATTTAACTGTGGACAAATTAAGATATAATTATCTTTGGTCTGATAAATATCTTTTGAATCCTCTATCTCCATCGGAAATGATCCACCTTACCTGACTAAAAAGATAGATTAATTAATGTTTACACAGATACGGACAGCAACTTTCATAAATATCGGGTAGCATTGGCTATGTATCCAAAAGGAATCATTATATTAATACTTTTTTATTATTTGCTTAATTTTTATCATTTAATTTATTGTTCCTATTAAACTTAAATTATGTTTCTTCTATATTTTTAACTTTTACACTTTTCTTGGTGTTTAACTTTGTAAAAAAAAATTATTGCCTTGAAAAAAAAATTAAGTCAACACCATTAACAAATTACAACAGATACCAACATCATTAATCATAATACCAGATAGAGGAGTTGTTCACTAGTTAAATCAGTCTTAGGGCTATAAGTTTTTGCTACTTTAATGAATAAATAGAATAACTCAGACATAACTTTTTATTCAAATTATCACTCCGGTTTATTCACTTGTGTTATTCACAAAACGTAAGCATGTTGTATTAATAAAATAAAATGCAAATGCATTACTAAGTTTCTAGAATAAAATGCATAATTACTAAAATATAAACATTTTGTATTAATAAAAATGCATTGCTAGAATGTTGAAAAAGAAAAGGACCTCACACATTAATAGCGAGCAAGCCTTTTTTGTTTTGGAATGAAAATGGCTCTGTTGCCTATGACCTAGCCAAACCACAGCTAACTATTGGAATTGTGCAGTTTATATTATTTTATATATATTGACATCCAGATCAATTGTTATTCAATTATATTCATAAAAAATAAAAATCTTTAATTTCAAGTAAATGTCTTTGCAGCGGAACTAGTTAATTAGTGCAATGCATTTTTTTATTATCAGGTTTTAATGTATGTTTAATTTATAAGCAAGAGACTTAATTACAATTCAATATGATATATAAATCTAAACATGCTTCATGTTATGATTTTTTATTTTTTTAAAATTGTTATTCTTGACATACATTAAAGTTTAATCTTTAAATATTATTTTTGAAAGAATATCATAAGTTAAATTTTAATTTCAAAAATTCAATTTCACAGTTAATAATCTAATAAAAATATTAATATTATTATCGATGAATAAAACTTTCCTCATTAAGCATTTGGGAGGTTGTTAGTTCTAGTCCCATTTATTTTCTCAATTTTTTTTTGAGTGAGATAAATATAGTTTAATTTTATAAACATTTTCTGAATAGAAGAATCAAGTTTTGTCTAAGATTTTTAAATTTTCTTTCCTTAAGCTGAAGTACAGATAACCTTTTCATCCCAAAAATTTTCTACCAAAAATGATTGTCAAGGAAATAAATATTTAAAGAAAATATTCTTTATCTTTTACTAGTTAAAATTAATTAATACAATTATATATTTATTACTAAAATCATTTTTTTCTACATCTATAAAATGTCAAAGAAAGATAAATGATAGAAGAGAGCATGCTTCCACTAGTAGAAAATAAGTATATTACGTCACCCCTTTTACGTCGGAAATACGAAAATCCGACGTAAAAAAAATGCGGTGGCATTTTTGTAATTTTTGCGAACTTTTTTACGTCGCACCTGGTAAGGTGCGACGTAAAAAGTCCAATCTACGTCGGACCTTCCCAGGTGCGACGTAAAAAGTCCAATCTACGTCGCACCTTCCCAGGT